CCTTCAAAATGTTGAAGGCCAACCTACATGCCCAGCTGAAAATGCAGACTTAATTTACAGACTTAATTACCTGCAATGTTATGACTTATAACTTAAGAAGTGTCACTTTCAATGAAGTCTTAACTTGGAACGTAACTTGGAATCTCTTAAGAGAAAGCTAGGTGCAAGCTGAGGTTTAACTGGGTGTTGTGTTGACCACCACTAAGAAATAAGGATCTTCTGGAACTGCAGTTTTGCCTGCACCTTGTTGTGCACCTGCTTTTGGTTGTCCACCACCGTTTATTAGTTAATGCCAGAGTCCTGCTGTGAAAGCAGCTTTGCTACGAGACTTTCTGCGTTCACTCAAAGCTCATGGATTGTCAGTGAGTGAGGAACGGACTGCTTATTTATTAGCCCATTTGTGTTTCATCCTCATGATCTCCCTTGTTCCTTTTTCTAATAGCTATCTAAGTTTTATAATATTATATTTTTATATATTATATATATCATATAAGCAATAATTATTTTGTAGTTAAACATTAATTTTGCTAACTTAGATGTTCTTTGGAGGGCAATAATTTCTTTGCTGAATTTATTTAGCACATGTAGTGTTTAGTTGTTACACTGTAAGGTTTTTTTGGTGGTGGGATTTGGAGGGAAGGTTTTTTAGTTGGGAGGGGTTGTTTGTGGGGGTTTAAGTCTTTTAAAACCTACAAGTTTCCTTTTAATCACAGAAAATAAAGATTAAACCAATATGATCCCATTATATTTTTAGATATTTAGACTTCATACCTAAATTCTGAAGTCTTTAACAGGAGACTTTTGATGTGCTCACTTCACTTCTGTAAGTGCAAGAATTTCTCTAAACAACTGATAATTTTGGCATTTCCTGTGCGCGCATGTCTGTCCTTCTATTCCCCTCTCCCTAGTAAAGGTCGAAACAAAAAATATTTTAATCCTTGCAGTCTTTTTTTCTTTTAGAAGAGTGTTGACTTTCCTTAGTATTTTTGCACTTCAGGACTGTTCTTAAATGTCTGGAACATGGTTTATTTGTGAAAACAGAGCTTATATTCACTGAAAAATTAAAGCAAGTCATTGCTAGTGAAAGATTTTCAGCCCCTGTTGTGTTTATCAGAATTACCCTAATGAGATCTTGTTAGCCCAATTAGTGTACTACAGATAATACTAAGATAATACTTAAACATCTACATTACATTAATACCCCATTAAGGGCCTGATGAAAAGTCCATTGAAGTTGATAGAAATGTTCAGTAGAAATTTAATGCTTTGATCTTTCAACTGCAGTTTTATAACTTACAAAATAAAACATAAAAAACGTCTCGGCCAACATAAATACATCTGTGTTATCTGTCATACTTCCCCCTTTATGGCTAATAAAACTATTGTATTTGGAGCCTCCTCAAACTGAATTAAATACTTAAAATGATAATTCTGAATGCGTTTTACAGCAACAAGTTCTGCAGTAGGAAAAAATGGTGTTGCTAAAGGGTGCAGAGCAAGTGCAGTTGTCTTGTGATGTACCAAATTATACCAATACTCAATGAATATATAAATATATAGTAAGTTTTAACTGTAAGTAACCCATAGCTGCAACACAATAAATGTCAGATTTGGGATGGATTGGGAATAACTGTTTAAATGCCTTCACTGTGTGTCATCTGTCTTCAAATGTACTTTTTCAGGGCCCCGATTTGCTGCCAACCTGCCTACTTTGCTTCCTGCTGTTTACTGTCGGTGTAACTACTTGCTGAGCAAAGTAGGTGTCTTAGCACCAAAGCAGTGGAACTTGCAGAACTATTCCTATTACACCGCAGTGCTTCTGTCTTTGTTTTTTGTATCCATAATGTATTTACGTAAGTGTTTCTAGTGGAATATGGTAGTGAGTGGTGACAGAGCACAGGCTGTGAGTTGTGGAGAGTCTCATTTAATAACCAAGGAAATTCTCACTACTTAGGAGAAAGAGATGCAGTACCTGTGTTTTATTTTCTTGTTATTACCTCTCTCAGCCCTGTGTGGTGAGAGATCTTCTTTCTTTTTTATGAAACTGTATTTTTGCAGCCCATGGCTTTATATTAAATTGTAGTTAATGATACACTTTTGAGGATTACTTCACCCTACGTGGAGCAATTTGGCTTAGGCTGGAGATCAATCTGCACATAGAGCATCTGTCACTTAACGATTCTGCTTAGATACCAACAAAAAGATTTTAGGTCCCACTGTGTTTTAGGGGTTTTCTCCTTATGTACACATCTTGATCTATAAAACTCTTTTCAGTAGCACTGGGATTATATTTGTTTTTATTCATGAAGTTGCAGTACAACAAGTAGGTATTTCTAGGAAGCTGTTTTTCTGCACTCCCAAAGCTTCTGTTGTTGAATGGTCTGATGCTGAATTTATTAATCTGCGCAGTTGCTTGCTCAGGTGTAATCCCTTGTTCAGCCACATATATTCATCCACTGAAGGGTGTGCACATTGGTACATCATGGCATATTAAAGGTTTACCACCGCCTGCCACAGCTGTCATCTCTTTGACCCTTCAGTAAACTAACAGTCTTCCACATAATTTTGCTTTCATTCAAGGGTGATGCCATTACTGTGTAGGCAGACAGAATGCAATTCTCTAAAGATCTTGTCTCGTTCCCTTCTCTTCCAAGGAGGTTAATGTGCTCAAATGATCCCTGCGTCTTCTTTTTTAGCTCCCTTGCTGCAAGAAGAGCAAAGAAGAAGGTGTTCTGGATAATCTGTTTGCACGAGCTTTTGGGGGATGGAGCAAACTAGAATGACGAACTTGCCAGTTAGGTGTAAGACCTCTTTACCACTCAAATTTCAAATGCTTTCATTTCTTCCTGTAGAACTTTTTTATTTTTATAGCTTTTTACTAAAAAGTTATAGAGAATTTTTTCCAATGCTCCTTACCGCAGAGAATAAGCAACTCAAAACTTCTGTACCCAAAACCAGCTAAACCACATTTAAATGTTAATGACATATGGGAATAACTTAAGACTTAATCAGTATTTGTCTGTAGATGTTTGTCGTACAAAAGTGGCACCATTTCAGAAAACAAACAACCTCCCCCCCCAAACTTCATATTACTGTTTGCATAGTGTTAGTACTTTGCAGACAGTGTGGATAGCCTTGTGATCTTGCAGAGCTGATGGAGAAAATGAGAGTTTGCAGATGATGGGCTGAAACTGGTGTCTAGGGACAGCTATTCAAAACCCCAGCGTGTAGGGCAGCAGCTGTCATGTCATCGAGTGCAGTTTCTCTTTATGAACTTATTGTCATTGCAATGATTTTTTTGCAGTTTTCCTAGTGCTTTTATATTGATTACTTCTACTGTATGTAATAGTATTTCATCCAGTAATGAAGTTAAACAATCAAATGAGTCAGTGATTTATTGAGTTTCTTGGTTTAGAGACTGGTTCTACAGTGCTGCGTTTTTCCCATCTGCTCTCTGAACTCTTGTTCACAGTTTGCCAGTAAGATTCATCCCTTGCTTCCTGAGTACCAAAGAGGTGTGTTGTGTGATGCTTTTGATTATTAATAATGTGATATTAACAGTTATGTTCTGCATTTCCTTTTCATTTGTTGGCAATCCTTTGCATTCAGCTGGTTTTGAAACTCTAATTTCATAATACATTATCTGTTTCTGGTTTTATTTCTAATTCCTTTCAGAAGAATTTTTTTGAATGTTCAGCTACTTTGGTTAGTAAAATGTAACATTTTTTTATTAGTATTCCATAATTTCAGTTCAAAATAACATACTCTACTCTTATTTACCCTTTCATCTTTATGCATAACTCTCTTGTTTCCAGTTAAAAGTAACTATAACCTCTCTTTAAGCCGATTCTGTCTTATCCATCCTGTATTTTTCTTTCTTCTAGCTTTTCTGATGGGGATTCAGTGGAATTACTCTCTTGTTTCTTTGAGAAACTTTTTTTGCCTTGTAATAAATCCTTCTTTACGGAAAAGAATGTCTGCAGATTCCAGTTCTGAGCTTTGTGTCTAAGCTGTGGGGCCAGACTCTGCTCTAATTGTCTGGCTCCATGGCAGGGGCAGAATCTTTCTCACATCCCAGTGTCAGTGAGAAGATGGTGTTGGTTTGGAGGCCGGACGAGGGCTGCTGTGCGTGGCACCTGTTCTTAGTAGAAAGCAGGACACTTGGGCACACCGTGGTAGTTGTGTACCACACACCCTGACTTGCACTGGTTTGTGACTGTATGAGGGGTCACAGTAGATCAAGTTAGAGTGAATTTTCATCACAAATCATTACTTTGTTTAATGAGTTTAATTTATGCCAAGTCACGCTTGCAAGGGTCTCCTGTGCTTCCTCCAGATGACGCAGTATCAGATACCGATTCATTCTGAGCAAGACAGAATGCAATTTTATCATCTGTTTATCCTTGTGTTTAATTGTGTAGTGATCACTTTCTGCTTTTATAAACCAAAACATGGGATTTGTTACCTGCAAGGGGATTATACTGCTTGTTTTTAGAATGTATTATATTATATCTATTATATCTTGGTCAAAGCAATGGTTAATATTGGAAGAGGGGGTTTGTAACCAGACTGAAGCCCTGGCACATGTACTAAAAAGGCCATTCTGATTTTATGGAGGATATGAGAGGCAGAAGTAGACGTGTGACAGAGCAGATGAAATTTTGGCTTAATTGCAGTGGGTAGGTTTGTCTGTACTTCTGGTCAGGCTAATGAGCATGTGTTTTGTGGAGGTTGTAGGAACAGTAGTGTTTTGGTGGTATTTATAGTACTTTAGATTTGAGAATCTATGCTATGCCATAGGTTATTCTTGTTGTTCTAAGATGAAAGATCAGAAGGAACTGTTAGAGGATATTGCAGTACAATTTTACTCAGTAACCCTTCTTTCAAACACTTATCCAGTATGCAGAAACGTATTGCTGCTTCTGAACTGTCTGGAGTTTTAATTCTAACTTGACTTTATCTGACTTCAGCCTTTGGGTTATTGTCCTACCTAAGGAATGATGCCACAAGAAGCTCTTGTGAAAACACCATGGGCAGGCGAGCGGGCAGCGTGTTGCCAAGAGCTGCTGCACAACCGGTGCCAGCCTTGCAGGTCACCGTGGTGGTCGCTCCTGAGGTGTGCCTCCACTTCGCTCTGGCAACTTCTTCTCTTGGCTGCTGCAAGTCCGTTGGGAGGGTACAAGTGTAAGAAAGTTGCTTATGGTGAAAACACTTCGGCATCGATAAGTAGAACCACTGCAGTGTGCCTGGCTGTGTGTGTTGGAGCAGCTGCAAGCATCTCTGCTCATCAGGCTTCCCCACACGTCCACCCAGGATGCTCAGCAAGAGCTGCCATGCACTCCATCCCTGCTGCAGCTCGCCGTAGGTGCAAAATAATTGGACACCTTCCACTGACGTTCGGACTCTCGAAAACTAATGAAATATACTTAGCAGCACTTGAGGAAAGGAGAGATTACCAGTTAAGATGAGAAACTGGCTGCTTTAATAGCAGGAAACTCTGGTATGAAACATCAACTCACTATACTGAGCAGCTCCAAAATGAGACTGGATGGCTTTGAAATGGCATTTAGGCTCTTTTGGTTGAATTGACTCTTGGTCTTTGTCTTTGCTGTTTAAGAAACACTTCCATCAAACTGTGCTCCTTGAAGCTTCCCAGCTTCACTGCAGCTTCTCCTTCTCCCTGTACCTTAAGTATAGGCAAGAAAATCCCTTTCTACGTCTTCCCCTGCCTGTGAAGTCTTACCATGGGGGTGTGCCTAAACTGTTGTTAATATCGTGGTCATAATTGAGGGGTAAGGGATTGATGGAATGAGATTTGAGACTGGGGTTAAAGAGATTTATTTTTTTTTTTAAGAAAAGCTGAGGAATGTGCTGAGCCGGAGTGTTGGTAAGAGTTGAGGAGGCTGGAAGTGGTGGGTAAGCAAGGACCGAAGGGGTAGCTGTGGGGGAGAAGGGAGGAACAAGCATGAAGGTTTGTGAGAAACGACAGAAACACATAGGAATGAAATCTCAAGCTAAAGCATCCCAGACCCCATGAGAGGCTGTGGCACTGGGACTCCCTAGGGCTCTCTGGAGCTGGGGGTTTCACTTTGGGTGGCTGCTTTATGGGACCTATGTGTGTAACCTTTCTGGTGGCTTTTCTGCTGATGGCAAATGCCCCTCAGTGCCTTTCCCAGCTGCAACGTGTCCCCAGCCAACAGGGGCCAACGCATGCTCCCATCCCAATCCCTTGGTGTTGAAATCTCACTGTTTCGGGTTTGTTTTATTGGCCAATATTGTGATCTTGGGCAACCTTAATTCTGGCACTTCCTAACTCCAAATAATTGAGTTTGCAACCTCAGTATGTTGTTTTAGTTTATTGGGGACTACAGAGTAATATGTTTGCACAAGAATACTGAACTAACATTATGCAGTGTTTTTTAGCTTTCAATTAATTTTTTTTAAGAACTCATGCTTGTGCACAGGTTGGAGATATGGCTTCATGGGAAACTTTTCATTGTTTGTCTTTCAGCTTCAGCATTCAAAAAATGACTCTCCTGCTTGGGCTGCACAGTGTCCTGTCTCCTAGAGATCAAGTTGTGTTTTTCCATTTTTGTGTGAATCTCAAACTTTTTATTGTTTTAAACATCTCCACTGTCAGCATCACAATGATGTTCTGTTTTTTTGTTTCTTTGTTGTTTTTTTTTCCCCTGCCTTACCTACAACAGAAAATACCAGTTTTGCTTGTCAACCACAAATGACATCATGGCAAGAAATGCATTTCACTGCATCCTTGTTCCCTAAAGTCTGTGAGAAAGTAACTGCAGACCATCTGCTTTAGCCACTTTTGGCTACTGTAAAGGAAATGAACTCCTGAACATCCATTAAGCTACAACTTTAGGATGGCTGTACAGTGCCTGGATAGAAATAGATCATTTTTCTTATCTATCCTGTCCTCCTGAGCCTGTTAATGTAGTCTAATCCTAGCTAGTAACCCAAGAGATTTATAGTCATAACTGTTTGCAGCGATTTTCTAGAATCTGTTTTACGCTGTGGCAACATCTTTGTATTCAGCAAGATACTGCTGCAGTTGTAGTGGAGCACCCAAGGAAAAGTGTATTACATCCCTGTTTCAGAAGTGTTAGATATTAACATCAGAGGAGCAATTAATGTCAGTACCATATGCTATATTCAGGATCCTAAGTCTGAGTTATCTTATTTGTCAGATAGGAAAATTCACTTACATCTTTCTTAAAATTGTTATGTGAGCAGTTAATACAGTAAAATAACTGTTCTTCCTCTGCACGAACCAGGCAAATGTGCTACCATGAAAACGTATTACTTTTATTTCTGCCTCTGCATTTTTCATCTACTGGTAACTCCAATAATAAAATTAAGTTTAATTTCCTCTGAATTCCTCTGTAAATGATACTGTTAGTTCCTGTGCTTGCACTCTATCCCCTGTATAGCTTGCTTCAAGTAGGTTACTGAAGTCACTTACATAGTCATCTTCTCTAGGTTCCCTTGTACTTGTTTTATTAAACTGAAGAGTTGGGACATGATGTACCTGACAAACTCATCTGGTTTTAGGTTGAGAAACAGTATACTGGAGAATTACTGAAATAAAAGCAAAAAATAAAAATCTGTTAGTGTTAGCTCGTCAGGGTTGCCAGCAGGTCAAGTTAAAAATACCGAACAGCATCTGAAGCTAGAGATAAAACCCATCTGGTTTGGGAAAAGGAAACGGCACAGGTGACCTTGGCAAGGGTAGATCATGGGTTCAAGTTTGCTCTCTTCTTGTGGACAAATTATTCCAGTGTTGTACCTCATGGGTGGGGAGATGACTTGCTCCTTTGTGTGTGCCTGCTGGCTGCAGAGCTGGTGGTAGAGGGACAGACTGAAACAGATAAAGCTCCTTCAGAGTTTGAATCATAGCAAGAAACACAGTCTCAGGGCTGCAGAGCTTTGGAGAGCCTGATCCTCAAAGAGGTGGTCTGCAGGCTATGAGAGCTGGAGGCTCAGTCTGAAGAGCTGGAACAGCTCCATAAGGATGGTAAGGGTTTCCTCCAGGAGCAGTGGTTTTAATTAGCTGTGCTGGAGTTAACTGCATTCTGTGTTATGTTTACAGCTCTACATAAACTTGTGCATTTCATATTGTTTTGTTTAACCCAGGTAGGATGCGTATTTTGATGAGGAATCATAAATATTTTGAAGGTCTGTGAATATTAGATTTTCATGCTGGCAAGTTAGTGTGTTTCTATGTATGAAGCAGCAGCTGTGGTGAGACATCTGTTGATAGCACACTTCCTCATCTGCTCTATCTGTTATTTGTCATCGTTACATCTGGTGTAGTCCACATGGCCCTAATCAAAGCAGTGGGGCTTTTTGCCAGGTGCTCCATACCAAGTGAGATGGGCGAAAATGACAGACTTTGGTGATGTGTATCCTGGCAATACTTCCTAGTGACATCCCGGCTATGTTCTGTAATATTTGTGGAAGGATCTATTTCTTTAAGGAAGGTGGCTGTCTTTGGAAAGGTAAAGGAGTGAAGTCAGTGGCAGAAAAAAAATCCTGTTGTCATCAGCATGTTCCCAGCGCTTCAAAAATGAACTGTTGTGGGATGGTTTTCATTGATTTCTTTATTTGAGGAAAGTCTTCTTGGAAACACTGCCACTTACTGAATAAATAAACAAACCTTCAGGTAATTAGACCTAGATCTGGCAAAGCATTTAGCCGTCTGTTTATCAAAAGGTGAATAGCCTGGTGTTCTTCACCACTAAACTTGCCTTGTGGTTTGTGCTGAAGGTGCTTTATAGACTGTCAGGATATTCTTAGGGTTTGTTTTAGAAAAGCTTTAGGGGGCAAATCTGTGTTGCATCTGAGAACTCAGCTGTAGGATAATTTCCGTGAGCAAACATCTATCCCTCCTGAGATATTTCTTAAATTACTTGAATGGCTTTGTTCAGTGCTGTGTTTGCCTTGAGTTCAGTGATAATTCCCAGATAATATGAATTTATGGAAGGCATATTTTCTGAAATATTTGTTGTAGAACATCTTTCCTTCAAAACATACGTTTCCCTTACAATGCTATTTTTTCCAGTTTTAACAGTGCATTTTTGCCAATGCAAAGCGTGTTTAAAAAAAATAAATTCTAACTCATCAGATATTGACTCAACTTTTATGCTATTAATTTTTCCCTACTGCTTTTTTCCCCCCTGCTTTCTCTGGTCTCCTGTTCCTCACAACCCACAAAAGCATCTCATTTCTCTTTGCCTCTTTGTCCCTCATTGCTGTGGAGTCTTCTACCCCTTTCCATGCTGGCATCTCGCGTTCACCGCACTGATGCATCCCTGCCAATTTCTTCTATGCTTTTCCTATTTGTGTTTATGTATCACAGGCTTTGTTGAGTGACTTTTAAATGATTCTTGCTTAATTGGTATAAGACCGATTAATTCTTCCCTGTTTCATTTTTTGCTGCACCCAAGTGATTTAGGGGGAGGTGAAGAGTTTGAGAGTTTTCTAAGTTAAGTTTTTGATGCTGTTGGTTGGTGCTGTTCACCACAACTGGCTTCGGCAGCCTGTTAGTCCCTGCACCTCTTGCTCATTAGATATTCTGCTTTTCCTGCAGTGGAAACAACCTGCTGGGTCTCTTCCCTCACCTACTTGCTCTACATGAATTTTTGCTGAGCAAAATTACTAGCAATGTTTCTATGGATGTGAGATGTAGACTCGGATGGGCTTTGCTGAATGAGACTAATGTAATGTGAACAGAGATGGGAGCAGCGTTTCAAACGAAAAACTTGTTGTCTAAGTAGTGTTGTGAGTAAAAATGCCTTGAGGGTGGGAAGTCATTTCTTCTTGCCCTGTCCTGCAGCCTTCAGGGCATGAAATAGCCGGGCACGGGTGGTTTTAGGCAGGGGGCTGTGTTACCAACCTGGGGCAGCAGTGCTGCTGTCCTGGGCTGCAGGAATATACCAGCAGCGCTGGAGCTGCTCCTCCCTTGGAAAAATTAAATATACTCTGTGGTGTGTGTGTCACCTGCTGTACTCTTACCTTCACACAGATAAATGTCGTACTATAAAATGAAAATTCAGCAGTGTGTCACAGCATTAAGAGATTTGTAGAGGTTCCTGTGAAACTATGATTTCTCTGTAACACCGGCTTGACAAAAATGAAACTGTGAAGGTGGTTCCCCAGTAGCTGGTGAATGTCCACGGGAGTGACAAATCATCCCGATTCTTTGCGTGCTTTGAGTAATGTTCACTTTTTGCACTGTTAATATTTTTCTCCTTTCTACCTCCACCAATAATTGATTACAGAGATAATTTCTGGTCTCATCCCTCCCTCACACCCCAGCATGATTCTCCCAAGCTTGCCCCAAATCCCAGAGAAGTCAGCAGAAAGTCTCCCTTGCTCCACGTGCTGCCCTGTTGTGCCTTTTCCAAGTGCTGCATGTCTGCAGGCAGCGTGCACGGGTTAACAGGCTATGTATCCCAACTATTCTGTTGAATGAATACAAGTATTTTTAAGAATCTTAAAATTATGCCAAGTTTGTATTCAGCTTCTGGTATCTGTCTAAAGAGTTACAGAATACATGGTCACAGAAGTGCCTCGGTATAGCCAGTTTTGGGGTATAGAGTGGTGGGGAAGAAGGCTTGCTTGTGCACACAGACAATTTAAGTGGTGGTGAAGAGCTTTGTTGTGGTTTTTTTTTGTGGTGGTGTAGGTTTTTTTTTTTAAAGAAACAAATTTGTCTTATCCTGTTTTCTCCAGAAGCTGTCAGTACCAACGTAGCTATTACAACACAATGAGGATGCTGTTTTTTTCTTAAGAGCTAAGAGGCTGGTGTTTAATTTCTTTTTAATAATGTGACTTTTACCGGGGCGAGCAGGTTGTGAATTAGTACTTCATTATGTGCTGACATCGAACAAAGTCCCCACTTCAAAATTACCATTTCAAGAAAACAGTTAAGATTTGGTTGTCTGACTCATTTAGGTACTCGAACATCCTACCAGTACAGAATTTATATATGAAGTACATTTAACAAGTTCTACTGCTTTGAATAATAATGAGTCTAATGAACTAATGGAATAAATATTTTTGTGGCTCTTAAGGGACAATTATGTTTGTAGAGTATGAACCCTTGTTCTGCAGTTATCAAAACATAGTGAAATTACTAGTAAATGTGCATTGACAGTAAATATAAATTGATGTAAGTGTAATAAAATGCTTGGGTGTCACTGGACTTGGAAACCTACTGAATCCTGCTTCTCTCCAGGGAGTGAATGTATCCTGTGCATTACTTAAAAAAATAGAAATAAATTATTAGAAGTTGGTATGATTTCTAGCAGCCGCTACTAATCTTACGAAGGTCGTGTGTACAGACACGTGTGACTAGGGGTGAAACATCACACAGGTTTCTTGGCACAATGCGATAAAACTTGGTGCTGCCACATGGTAGGAGTTGTGTGTCTGGAGCAGCTTTTGTCAGAAAAATTCTCTGGATTTTTCACAACATGATTTCTATGTCTTTTCAAAGCATAGGCATAATATTCGATCTGATCTTGCACGATCCTTTTGCTTACCTTCCTTGATTATGGAACCTTACAGAAACAAGAAATGTTTTGGAAGGTACTTGAAGTGAACTGCAGTGAGTGCAGACAACAGGCATGTGTTCTGCAGGTGAAGATCGTGGGGTTTTAATTCTTTCTTGTGTGTTGGCATCAGTTGAGAACAAGATCTGTTTTACCTTCTGCAGATGCTTCAGGTAGTGTATTCTGTCCCTGCCATGAATTTGCAAATCCGTGTCTTTTAATAGCTGTGGGTATCAAAGGAACTTTTATTTGCTTCTGTTGCAAATGCATAAACAGTTATTCTAGGGCAGAGGCAGTGGAAATCATAATTGTGTTACTTTTGCTCCGTATTTTGGAATCTTTCTTAGCAACATGCTTGAGACTTAAAACTTAGCTTATTAAATAGAAGGAGAGAACCCAATGGAATATGCAGTTTTCATATCCTTGCTCGTTGTACGTGGAAGAACACGTTTCATTGTTCTCCTTTTTGGGTAGAATAAAAGACTTTTCAATAAAGCCAAATTACATTTTCTTGCTCCATTTTATTGCAGTTGCATGCATGTTTCAGTTGATGTAACTTTATGTACCTGGTTCTAAAGCAATGAGACAAATACATGTATTAGCATGGGAAGGGAGAAGAAAATACTTTTTCAGGAGTCGGAAAAGTCTCAGTTGCTAATTTTAAACTTCCTTCTATATGGCAAACTATAAACAGACAGTAAAAACACTTAATTTGCAAATTAGACGGTTCTAGATTGAATTTAAGTTGGATTTTTTTCCTTGTGTAGTCAAGTTTTTTTTAACATTTTTACCAAAATATTTTCTGCATTTAACGACTAGAGGCTTTGCCTGGTAGAGTTAAGTAATAAAGTTGCTCGTTTCCTACTGGAATGGTAACATTTCAGATGAAAAGAGGTGAAAATGGGACATAATAAATCATAAGAAGTGCAAGTAAGAGGTAGAAAGATGTAGACAAGATGAACTAATCAAAACATTTTATTTTGGTGACCAGTTTGAGAAAGTAGATGAAGTTTCAAAAATCTGGTTGTGAATAAGACAATCCACAGATCAATAAATAAAACTCAGAAATACTTTATATATGTTTCTGCCCTTTTCTTTCAAACAAAACAACGGGCTGTTGTCATCCCATGAGGCATCGAAAAGCAAGTCCTGTTCTGACTCATTGCTTCTCAAAACCATCTTCTGTCCTGTTCTTTGTTTCCAGTTATGTTTTATCTATTAAGACATTTTAGCAGGATGAGAGCCTCATTTCGGAGATACAAATTGATCTATAAAAGTAAACAATGTTTTCCATTATTTGCCCACCTTTTACAGTGTTTTATTTACCCTGTCAGTTTTCAGAGAACTTAATGTTTCTTCCCAATGATTTCATGTAATAGCAAGTTTTGTTAGAAGATGCAGCACTATTCCCTAGTGTTATTACTGGGAGGATACTGGCTTTATTTTAAAACAAAACCATAACCAAACAAACCAAACACAACAAACCAAACACAAACAAACAAAAACTGAAAAAACAAAAACACCCACCAAATTTCTGAACCAGTCTGTCTTGATACTCCATCAAACAGGACTGACTTTGACCTTTAATACTCTGAATGCACTAGAGAGATGCCTAAACATCAGACCAGAATCTTATATACAAGCAGCAAGTACTTTCCCAGGTCAGCTGTTTGGATTTCATTATAGGATGCTAATAGAGAGCTCCATTTACTGGTGATGTTTCTGCAGCTGTGTGATTAGTCTGGTACTTAAACCACTCTAGAAGGTAGGATGGAGAGCTTCCTGCTAATTAGTGAAAAATTATTCTTTTATTGTAGTATGTCTCGTATTCTTCATTTTCTATTGGATTCTGCATTGCTGCTTGTTTCCAAAAAAAAAAAACTATTCCCTTGTGACAGCAGTCTTCATCTGCAGTCAGTGATTAATAACTTCTGCAGTACAACATTGCAACAGATCGAACTGCAGAGCTGCGGTGGGTTCCTGCTGGGTACCTTTCTGAATGCCTTGGCACGTCCTGCAGGTCATGTCCCTTCCCAGGGTGCTCCCAGCCCATTCCTATCCTGCTCGTGTGGTGTGTCACACAGCAGAGACAATTGAGTTTCTCAAGGTCTGTTTTTGCAATAAATGAATGCATGTGCTTGGAAAGCAAGGATAAACCAGTTCATCTTAATTACAGAAATGATAGGTATTGCATAAGATTTATGACACTCCCTGGTTGTGATGTAAGAAGACAAAATTGGGTCTAAAGTAATTTTATATGTAAAATAGATTATTTTTTCCCTGTAAATTTTGAAATGCAAATGGCTTAGCTGTTTTCATTCTAGTGTAGAATAGCATATCTCCTCTTCTCTGAAGTGGCAGCTGAAAGACCCAAACTTACTGTGTGAGTAAAAATGTAGACCCTGACATGTAACTGCTCTGAAATTTAGTTGGAAAGCTGAAAATAGCCTTTTTAAGAAACCCTCCTGTAAGCTTTATGTGCAGTAACAAGGAGTAATAGAACAGTATCTTATTGTGGCAATAGAAGTATTTTTTTCAATGAAGCATCGAAATTCTAATCACTCTTACTCAGTATTCTGACTGTAACAGCTGTTGCTTTTCAATATTAAAAAATACTGTATTTTGGGAAATAGCTACTGTTGGTCAACTTACTACTAGTGTTATGCTTTGTTATAAAGACAGTCTTATTTTAAAGACTCTGTGTTGGTATCCTTTACAAGGTCATAAACAAACTTTTTTTAAAAATTGTTTTCTGTCTGGTTTCATTATGGAAAAATACATTATTTACTCATCAAAAAAAAATCTTTCTTGGTGTAGAACCGCAATCTTAGTCTGTGTTGAATGTTATATCTAGCTTAATTCAAGGATATAATGAGGCTGTGCTTTGGATCTTGAGTCACCAGTTAGAGGGAAAGTTAATATAAATTTATGATGAAATAGTGCTGCTCTGCAATTTTGCTTTTCTTTATACTTGGTAGTTTGTCTCCTCTCACACAGCTGCAAAAGATGGCAGAAGACCTGAAGCCAGGCGGAGGGGAGCACTGGTGCAAAGTGCCTGCCTTCGCCAGAGCTTGGCGATGTTACGAGGGATGCTGCCGCAGGGAGGTGGTCAAGGGGGTTCTTTTCTGTTTGAAAGGATACCTACCCATTTTCTGAATAGCTCCGTTAGCATTATTTTTACGGTTGGTTAGAGGAGCTCAGTAGGATCTTGATGCTATTTTCATCAGAGCCTTTATTTCAGAAGAAACAGTGGCTTAAAGACCTATTTTTAAGTTATGCTTATGACTGCTTTTTGGTTATCAAAATTAGGGTAGCGTAAGCCTAGCATAAGAACAAAATTAGCCATAAGATCTGTTTAATTAGGTTCTTGTAAATTAGTTCACTTCAGTCCTACTTGTGTCATCCTCCCTCGTGTTGAACAGCCATTTCTTTTGCAACTGATCCACTGGAATCACGGAACTTAGTTGCCGGCTAAGAGATGCGATAGAGTTTGAGAACTTGCAATTCCTGTGTATTTTGTCTCTTCTGTTTCCTAATATCCAGCTCACCTTTCTTTCAAAACCAGATCTTGAAAACTCCAGGACGAAGATGAGAAGCGCGGTGTCAGTTCGAGAGGGGCAGGGAGTCGTGCTGCTCTGCGGACCACCCCCCCGGGCGGGAGGTAAGGGACCTTCAAACCGGAGCGGCTGGGCTGTAAAGTGGAATATCTCCCTGGAAAGGCAGGAGAGAGGGATCTTTCCAAGAGAGCAAGAGTGAAACCTGGTTCCCCAAGTAAATACAGGGAGAAAGAAAACAAAAGACGGGGAGGGAGAACCAAAAGAGGGGGGAGAGAAGTACTTAGGAGGATTTACTTTTACCTTCAAATGCCTTTCTAGCTCCTGGTAATTTCTGTGCACTTAACATGTCTGATTTTTATTATATTTCCAGTAACTAATTGAATATCTTCTGGAGTTAAATTCTGCCCAATTTCACAATTGCTGAGCCTCGATGAATCTAGTTTTCTCTATGACTAGACAAAGAGTAGATTGTTGTCTTCAATTATGCTACTATCTGCCTGTTTTCTTGCAATCAAGATGCTCGATAATGTAACGTAATGATGCTGGCATAATTTCAAAACATTGCTGACTCGAGGGGGACAGGGAAACCAGATATATGGATTCTTGGTGTACCAAAAGTTGCAAGTCTGTTTTATCATTCATTCTGCATCTTCAGTCTTTGACTAATTGCTATTAAGCCTCAAGTAATATTTGAAAGTAACTGGTTTTATTTGTTTTCATGTGGAGTCTCACTATTGAAGGGCTGTGATGTTAAACATTAGATTTGATTTCCAAGACAAGGTAATATAAGCTAAACATTGAATACAATAATATAGGTATTGCGGCCTCTTAAATTTGGTAGAGTCCAAGCAGACACAGCTGTAAAGTGGCAATTTTACAACTGTCTGAGTTTGCAGAATTTTTCTCTCTAAACTGATACATACCGTTAAATCATCTTTATAGCCTTACAACAGCTTTGTCTTTTCAGCTGCTGAGAAAATAGGTCATTCTCTCAGCTATCTGTAAGAATTAGAATGATTAAATTTTGCTTCTATATGCAGTCCAAAGTCTGAGTTACCCTGGCCATTCTTAGACTCACATCCTATGCATGGGTATGTGGCCAGAGGTGGTCACCACACTGACTACAACTCTGCACTGAGTCTTGCAATGTTTACGTTTGAGGTGATAAACAGGAGATGATGAAAAAAATGCTCATATTGCAAAGAACAGTGGTTCAAAGCAACATGTGGAAGAGGTGAGGATTTCTTCTGCATTCAGCAGATGGGATATGATTGACACCCCCTACACTAAGGGTGTTATTCATGCAAAAATGAGAGAGCTGTGAGGGCTTCGGGAATTATTGAATGGAATTGAGAATTGCTATCAGAATTATTTAAAATCCTTGAGGCTTTCTGAGAGATGGAGGATTAACCATTAAAGTTTTCAGGAGTCATGGAGCAAGGTGGAAAAAGTCCTTCCTCTTCTTTCTACACTAAAATAAACCTATAGCACAGTGACATAAAGCATGCAGTGCCTCTAGATCTGGCACAGTAGGATGCAGGTCAGTAAGTCTTAGATAAAATATCCATCCATTAAAGAGAAGTAGTTTGTTAGGAATAGCAGGGGATGATTTAGGAACAGCTGATCTGCCCTGAGGGCTGTTCAGTCCTTTCCAGATCAGTGATCTGACTTTTTTTTCCCTTTGATTCCATATTTGTTGCACTGAGTTATCAAATAATTTCAGACAACACTAATCCTAAAAACTTTCTCAAATACCTTGTTTTCTCTTCCCCTTTAGCCCCCAAAATATTGTTCTCTTGTGTTGGGTCATGTCATGCAATTTCTAAGTTCGTGCTAGCTCAATGGGGATTTGCACTTATTTCTTACAGTCGCTGTTACGAGCCTTCAAGAAGAGACTCAATTAAATTGTGATTATTCCTTCATACACAGCATTCTATTTTTCAATAGAAACCAATGTTCATCCCAGAAGAAATACTAGGTCATAGTATGGAAAACGGAAATTGCTTCCTTTCTATAATTTGGCGTATTTTTTTCTTTGCTTATCTTAGCTCCAGATATTTACTTTAGTAATATGAATGTCCCCTTTCAAAGGGGGAGTGAATTATTCATGCAATTAACAGTACTTTTATCTTTTTGAAGTTTGCAGTTACAGTTCCGTCAGGGTATGGACATCTACCATTTAAACCGACAGTGAAACTACTTCCAATGAAACTCTTTATCTTGGAATAGAGTCATTTAGGCTGGATAAGACGTAGTGTTCAACCAGTTGAACTAAGTCCAACAATGAACCTAGCACTGCCAAGTCCACCACTAAACCATGTCCCTAAGTGCCATGTCTGCAAGTCTTTGAATACCTTCAGGGATGGTGACTCAACCACTTCCCTGGGCAGCCTGTTTCAGTGCTTGACAACCCTTTTGGTGAAGAAATCTTTCCTAGGATCCAATCTAAACCTCCCCTGATGCAACTTGAGGCCATGTCCTCTTGTCCTATCGCTTGTTGCTTGGGAGCAATCTCAGTGAACACCTCCAGTTCCCTCAGCCGCTCCAGACTTGTGCTCCAGACCCTTCATCAGTTTCATTGCTCTTCTCTGGACACGCTCTAGTACTTCCATGTCTGTCTTGTAGTGAGGGGCCCAAAACTGAGCACAGTATTTGAGGTGTGGCCTCACCAGTGCTAAGTACAGGGGGGCGATCACTCCCCCAGTCCTGCTGGCCACGCTCTTTTTGATACAAGCTACAATGCTGTTGGCCTCCTTGGCCAACTGGGCACACTGCTGGCTCATACTCAGCCAGCTGTTGACCGGCACCCCCAGGTCCTTCTCTGTTGGGCAGCTTTCCAGCCCCTCTGCCCCAAGCCTTCGTACACTTCATGAACTTCATACGCTGAGCTTGCATTTTATTTTATTTCTTTGGTGGCTGTTGGTGCACAGGGGCAGGAAGACGATGCTCAATATTTCCAGTTGAGGGTGCACAGATCGGTTTTATATTTCTGTCAAGAAACAAGAGCTGTATCGCAAACCACTCCAGCATTTTCTTTGGAGTTATCACGTTTTCCCTCTTCAGCATTCCCTTTTTTAGCAGTCTTGTTTGAGGTTTACTAAATGGGAGATTAAGTAAATGACTGGCTTTGTGTGTGAACGTTTTTCACCAAATATTTTACTAATTCAGCTGTGGTTTATGTTTAGATAATGTAAGTTGTATGATAATTGAGCAGTGATTTTTGGATAATTAAGATGGTCATCTGTCATCGTTCCACATGACCATACTTCTGTATATAATTTTAATTCTGTTACTGGGAACCTGTTAAAATACCCTGTTTTCCCCACAAATCAGTAAATCATTTCCTTCACATAATCAAAAGATAAAATGACATCTAAAACTGATTTATGTAGATCGCTTGTCAGTTTTTATAATATTTTTCAGTTGTAACCATTAAATTCTACTGAACTCTGAAGCTATTTTGACTTTAAATTTTAAAGGACTGTGTCGATATAACGATTCTACTGAACTCTGAAGCTATTTTGACTTTTTTAAAGGACTGTGTCGATATAACAAACATCTCACATACAAAACTTAATACTGGACATAATTAACATGCAGCCAGTTAAAAAACATTCATGCACTGCTAATTTTTTTCTGTTCTGCCAAGAATGGAAAAGGCTAGACATACAGAGATCTAAAAATGATTTTTCTCTACTATTGATTTTGTTCCAAAAATCAGTATCTAAGGAGTGACAAAGCCCTGAATAAAGCAAATCTGCGAGTTCCTTTAGGGATTTACCTGCTGTTACTACTTTATGTGTATTGTGATTGTCATGTAGCATGTTGTAAGATACTATTTCTATTTGCTAGATATTATGATTTGTATTTGTTTAGTACAGTCACAGTTTTACTAACCTGACATGGATTTTGAATTTCAGAAAATGTTACTAATTTTAGGTATATTCTAATCTTCAGGAGAGGAGAAAGCAATGAGGCGTAGTCCTTTTACGTTGTCTATGGTCATTTCAGGGCTGCTTACACACAGAGAAAAACATGATTTTTAATGCTAGAAGTGAAGATTTCCTTGACATTATTCAAACTTTTCAAGGAATTCAAGCCTGCCTGGAAAAACTAGACCTTAATTTTAAGTTGGTGGATATACTCCCTGTTATCTTCTTAACTGTGTGTAGTAAGACCATAACCCACAAGAACTTCAGTAAGCAGCAAGAAGGTTGTGGAGCTGAAAAGCTGTTGCTTGGAAATTGCAAGGAAATTCTACTTATATTCATGATTAGCCTCGTGTAATACGTGTCCTATTTTATGCATTGTGGCAAGGATATTTCTACATAACTAAAGCAGCAAGACTATGTCCTCTGTGTTACTACCATACCCTGAGAAACACTGACTTAATTGATAAATGAGACTGTACTTGAAGGATAGGGATCAATCTAGCTTATAGCTTATTATTTTAAAGTTATGACATACTGATTTGAAATTATATTAGATCATGGAAAAATAGATCCCAGTTTTATTGCGCACTGCTTGGTATGACAAATCATTCAATGAATAATGTCATGTCTGTTGCAAATTAGCTTTTAGACTTGCAGGTTTTTGCTCATGTCTCTTGTATTTCCATTTGAAGACCTGCAAGTTCCAGCAAAACTCTGCTTCATGAATAGCATGGCATGGAAGATCTCATATGCCAGAAATATTTTGATGCTTTGATTGTACCTTTTCTGTATCAACATGCTATTTTTTAGGGAACTATGAACTGAATTAATTTTACTCATTTCGCTTTGGAAACATTTCATACCCTTAAAACAAGGCAAACCCAAACTGATAGGACTCCAGAATTCCATTTATTTTCTACTGTCTCTCAGTGTGTTTTCAGGAGGTGGAAGGCATCCTGGTTTTACACTTCTGCTTTCTGCTTTTGTTGCAGTTTGTGGATGACACTCATCTGGGCATAAGCAATAAATCATACTTGTGGTAGGCACATTATGGGGTTTTTGCACGAAAATACATTCTAAGGAGAGTAGTACGTTGAATATTGTAAAAGTGATGGCCTTTAAAAGTGGTTCCGTAGAGTTCTCGAGCTGTTCTCAATCTGCCAAGGAGAAAT